AAGGCCCAGATTCGAGTCCTTGTCGGGGCAACCAATTTTTTGAACACATTTAATTATTAAAATGCATTGTTACTCGGTAACGTGGTCACAATTCGGATTCTTTTGCGATTGCGAAATATATTCTTGGCGTAATTGCGTCCAACAAGGTGACAGGATGGTGGCAGTATATAAAGGTGAATAAAATAATTGTTCGACAAATTACTCCTGGATTTGGTACAAGAAAATCCTTGTTTACAAGATGAAGGAAATGCAAGTGCCAATACAACAGCTACCCGCATATAAAGGCATATCAATAGGAAAGTCTAAGAAAATACTAGAAACCATGGAGAAAAGATCTTTCCATCGTGCTTTAATACGTTGTTATCTTTGTTCAGGCGTAACTTATGTTCCACCTTACGTTTGCCACTAATAATGCTTGTTTTTAGTTGTAGATTTTATGCGCAAGCTTACAGCAATACTTTGAAGTTTGCGTTGTGAACGAGGCCTCTCAGCCGTATAGAAAAAGGCTTACCTGCGGGTTCGTTGCAGGTGCGCGCCGCCGGGAGAGCCCGAATCCAAGCAAGTGCTGTTCCTGGCTGGGGAAGGCCCTCTGGACCTGCCGGGCTGCAAGGTGGGGCTGTGCACATGGGAGCACGTGAAGCAGCTGCTGGAACCGGTGGCGCAGGAGTGCAACCTCGACTGGTGCGAAGACAACGGCGCCACCACCACCACCACCGCCGCGCACCTGCCGTTCGTCGCCGCGCTGCTCCTCGCCCTCACGAGTTTAAACGAAATCGTTTTTGAGTTGTAGGTTATGCGGCGATATTAATTTTTCGGCGTCCTTCAAAACTATTGCATGCAACCAACCCTTTCCACCCAGTTCCGAAGATGAAAAGCACAACTTCGCTAAGTAGAAACCTTGTGCAAGAAGGGAATGAAGTATACGGTATCTCCGTTAAGTCTCAAATCCCCCTGAAGAGAAATTTTAACATAAATGCATTTGCTGGGGAGGGTTTCAGAGGGATACTTGTTAGACAACTTCAATGACAGTGTTCCATGCATTTTACTGTAAATGAAATAAGAAACAATGATAAGACGCTGGTGAAGTGAACTTGGAATACGTGTGCTGATGAACGCAATTATCAATGTTTGTTGATTTTGTTATTAAATTTAATTTTGTTATTAAAATTAGTTGTGTTATTGCTTTATAAAATGCAACTCGTTTTTCATTACGTATTTCCTGCTTTTTCCTGTTTTCCACACAGAAAAATGGAACTCCAAAGGTAACGAAGTTAATATTAAACAAGAAAATAAAAATTACTTCTAAACCAGAAATGGACCAAAGCGAAAATGTAAATCAAAGATCAGTATATGTGTATTACTTTAGGAGATACAATCTCCAAAATTGCAGTGTTGAAACAATTATGTATGATATATATTAGAATGTTGCGATTCGTGAATAAATATATTTTACAAATAACGAAATGTCTCTATGCTAATTCAATATTATCTACCTTTCGAAACTATTCACAAAGTATCAGCTCTCCACTTCTTTCTGAGTCATCCTAAAAGTACTGAGGACTTTCCTCATAATTGGATTTTTTTCCACACGCTTTGTGCATTCTACCCCGATTTCGCATGTTCAAGGAAATAAATGCACAGAGAAGACGGAGGGCCTTATGGACATGCCCCCCCCCCCATTCCACAAAAAATATTAGAAAAACGACGCAGAAAAAAAATCGTAGAAACTCTGAAAATTCTGAAGGAAGTCCTAAAAATGTGAAATGCCTATACTTCTAAATTCAGTAAACGCGCGATAATCCGTTATTTGCACTATCATAACGTGAGATGATTTGTTTTTATTTGTTAGAGCGTTCTCTCTTACGAAAAAGAAGCCGAGATTTTAGTTTAGTTTCTTTTTTTCTGCAAGAAAGGAAAAAGAAGGTAACATTGAATTGAAATTGTAGCGCTCGTAGCCTCTCTGCCCGCGTGTCGTATAAATGTCAGTGGTGAGAATAAATGTAGTTCGCGGGGTATGAAGTGTGAAGTTGTGTGACGAAACACCAGCCTAGGTGATTAATTTAAAAGATTCCTAAGTCAGTGCAAAGCGTAATTTCAAATTGACATTCGTGAACTTCGTGAAAAGAATGCCATTCTTCCCGCCATTCGTTTGCTGATCTCACGATGTCGGAGATGACTTGTTACGATAATGGATGACTCAATTATATATAGAATTAGATCAATAATCTTAATAATTGAAAATTGCGTTGAAACCTGTTATGTGACCACTTACGGCTCTGGGGAGGGGGGGGATCAGTCATTATGGAGGTGGCGGCTTATCGAGATTATGAGATTACAGGAATCGTACATTCATCAAATTTAAATTTACTTATTACTGTGAATTGTTTGCCTCAGTGTTAAAGTTGGGCTTGTTCAGAGAATTGCGGTAGGAGAAAGGTACAACAATTTGACATTGGAGGGTTGGATTTCAGCATGACAGGGACAAGGACAAAAAGAATGACATTCCGATGTTATTTCAGCATTAAAAAAAACAACCCACACACACATACACACACACTAACCACTCTTCAAAAGTCTACGTCGACCAAACTAGCTTTCTTGTTCACATACTTCTTTACCTTAAGTATATTCATATCATTGTTCTTAAAGAAAAAACTTGGTCTCTGGTATTTTCCCATAATAGAGGCTCCTAGTCACCCGCTTAATTTTAGCAGAACAAAACTGTAATTCTGCCCTCACAATCTTTCCGCCATGATTCTTGGATCTCAAAGCAGGTTAACGAATGATCTTCAAATCAGTTTCATACGCATGGTATGCTCTGCGGGTCTTTGACAAATTTCCACACGGTGACCCAGGGTATGCCCGTACACAGTTAACCCTAATATCTTTCAATTCAATCATTTACAGTTAACCCCAATATCATACTGGTTTAATATATTCCATAATAGTACACACACAACTTTAATATAAATGTGTATTATTCATCTGGAAATTTATGTTGAACATTTCATTACCGTGACATAAGCCATATTTCCATTTCAAGCATTGTCTAACAGCCCATGAGATCTATCTCGTCTCTTCCCGCAGACACCCACTTGTATCTCTCAGGGTAGGCATGCCTCGGGCTGCCTCTCTTCACATCGTATTCTGAAAAACAGGCTCTGTAGTGAGCGCTGAACAGTATCATGCTGTGTCCATTCTTGACACATGAGCGTTGTGCATAGGCCAGCGAATCCTCTTGCTGCTTGCCCGCACGGAAGACCTATTTCCATTCATATGGAAGCCACTTAACGTGTTTATTGTTTTGTTGAGTTAACAAGTGGAGAAAGAATTATTTTTTTGATTTTAAATTAGTATGTTGCAGATAATTACTGTTACTTGATCTTTTACATTGAAATCTAATTTTACGGTAATATTACGTTAGAACTGAACTGACTGAACCAATATGAACAGTTTTTAACAATATACATATATGCTTCTTAACGATGTAGAAAAGATACAAATTTTGGGCAAAGGTCAACCTACTCATATGTTGAGTACAACTGAACATCGTGCTGGCGAGAAAAATGCAAGAACATTCAATTCTTTGTAGTACAATTCACATAAGTGGCCAACAGGTAGTGAAGTTAAAGCTATACTTTATTGTTGGACATTTATGTTGGCATGTTGAATTGTCAATTAAAGAGAGTAATAGGGATGGAGCTTGATGTTCTGACAAGAAAAATTTTTCAAAAGCTACACAAAAACTTGAAATATGAAAAGTAATTCCAAGAACCTTAAAAATCCGGGGGGGATTGAATACAATTCTGTATTATTTCACAGCAACACAAACTCGCAACACTTTTTCAGAATCAGAATATCTTAAAATCATGACTCTGTGTGCTTCCTGGAAATAATGCTTCAGAATATAATGATAGCAGTGAGATAATTGTTTTAAATCAATTGTATAAAATTACAAAAAAATTGGATTGAGGTGGGGTATGACCCCCATGCCACCTTCCCAGGATCTGCTGCTTTTCAGTAAATTTTGCCTACCCCTGAACAATTGTTCATGGGCCACCACTGTTTTTTCCCTAAATATCTCTTTAGAAAAGTATTTGCAGGTTAAGAATTCTAGGTTGGGTATGACTTTTCGTGACAAAAAACTCAAAAGCTAATGTAATAGTGAGTATCAAAGGCAATAAAAAACAATTTTTTGCATCTGTAATATTTAATTATTAGGGCATTTTCTTGCTGTCCACTGCAGATCTGCTGGGCAACTAACCGATATTTTCAAACTTGGAATGTGAAATGCCAAGATTATATTTTGTGATCAATGAGACTGCACAGACTCTTAGATCAATACAGGTGAGTGGAAATTGTGTTTTGCTAGAGATTGAAATGAAAAATTCAATAGATTCAACTCTATCTCCAATCATAAAGTCTGAATGATTAAAAAATATTTTCTTAACCAGAAATTCCTAAACATTGGAAGCTTTGCCACTCTGTCCCACACAAGCTGTGGAACAGAGACGTAAAAGTTTGCAGTTCACAACTTGAGCACACAAACATTACACAACACAATTTTGAAGTTAACAAAGTGACAGCCTTGAAGAAAATCTTGTCACGCACAAGGGAACGTTACATGGCAACACTTGAAAAATGAAGAACACAAATTCAACACACAAGACTGTCAGGGTAGTCTAAAAAGAGGATTATAAAGAAAAAGTGGTGACAAAAACAATGATAATGATTATATGGAACAAGAAAAGAATGATAGCACAGTCAGTAACATTTAACTTCATCAATAAGACATTGAAGTCAATGTCTCTCTTGAAAAATAGGGAGCTGCCTTATTCCCTGGTACATACATGTTACTGGTCCAAAAACACAATAAAATATTTATATTAGACATGATAAAAAAATTGTTCATTATCAACAAGGTATATTGACAATAGGTACGGCTGGTGCATAAATGTGTCATTTGACAATAGGTAAGGGTAGGGTGGGGTGGTGTATGTGCCAAAGCAGGAGGAGAAGGGTGAATAATGGAACTCAAAACAATGGATAACTTGAGCAAACTTATTGTGGATGTAATGACAAAAATGACAACATATCTGCTTGCAATCTTACCCTTTAATTTCAAAAAATTAATGTATGATTTCCATGTGCTTTCTTCCATCAAGTATCACATTTATATTGATTTAATTGTCTTGTGGTATTTTCATTATATTTACATAGAAGTTGAAATCATGTACAACAGAAATAAATATCGCCAACGTCTGAAGAAACTGTTAACAAAACAAACTTTCAAGAGACACTTTTGTTCTCTTAGCTTCATGTCACGCAATCGTAAAATGGTTGTAAGTATAAGCACTGCACTGTGCCCTGTGAAGACTCTCTTGCCAAAGCAGGTATTATTACCACTCTGAGTGGGTTTCGTTACATGCTGAGGCATGGGACAATGCTTCAAATACTGCCAGCCTGACAGTAATGTTTCACCCAATATTCCATTGGAGCAGATCAGAGAGCTCCTTTGCAGATGGGGAAGCATCACATGTTCTTCATCCGAGCCTCCCACATCATCTGCTGCCTCTGCGACACTTCAGGAAACCTTGGGGAGAAACCAATCAAATTTATTATGTAACTGCCATTGTGTATCAATGTGATGAGTTATTGACAAAACCTTTTCCCAAAAATTTTGAATAATTTTTAATTAATTTATGCAACATGATTTATAAATACTGTAAAAACCCCTCTTTTCCACTTTTCACAGGCCCCAAAAGAATGGTATAAATTGCAAGAAAACTGTAATTATTGGGAAATATTTTTCCTTATTTCATAAAATACAGAACAACAGAAAATCATTAGGTCTTGCAGTTCAAAATACACTAATTCTACTGCTTTTCATTTTTTCTAGAATTTATAAAATGTATGCACCCCACCACACATTAATAGGTTTCCACTTATTTCAAAAATAGAACTTAAATATAATTTAGCCCAGGAAAACGAAAAATAATTTTGCCTTTCTATCATTATAAACAGTATTTCTAGAGCATGATGGGAACAAAGGGACACAAGGTCATAAGCAATTCGATTCTCTTTTTGAGTTTGCTCAGCCAGGGAGAAAAAGTGTAAAAGATAAGAAATTTTAATTTTTGAAAGTGTAAACATTTATAGACAATTTTATATTGTGAACAGGGGTAAATTGACAGGCATGTAAAAATTGGCATAAATGGGAAGAACAGAAATTCTGGGAATATAAATGAAGGGCTTTTCTGTTTACCATTTTATCAATACTTGGTTATAAAAATAATATACAAAAGGTATTACTTATAAGTTACTTATTTCAATGTTACATCACAATTCATTACAAATAGCTAATTACTACAAGTTGATTGTGGACCGAAAATATTTTTTTCCTAAGACTACAGTGTCAGCAGAGTTACAATTTGCTGTAGTTAACAGGTCCAAAAAAACATGGCTTGCTGACAAATTCCATTTATTACTTAATGAATTGGTGTAATTTTTTAAAAATGAGTTGTGAAGAATTTATGAATGCACAATCTGATAATCTTCTACAAAACAGTGTATTGTAAGTAGCACCAGTTTTGAAACCAGTATGTCACAACACTGAGAAGAGCTTTCGATGTTAACTATAAAGTATTTGTTTTATATTTTTTTGGAGCCCAATTGTTACAATGATAAAATTTAAATAAGAATTAGTAGAAATTTCCTTTCAAAATAAACTTATTCTATTAGCAAAAAAATATATATTTTTTTAATTTAAAACTGATATGTTTAATGGATTAATTATAATAAGGATACATCACAATTAATCTTCATTTTCATTATTATTTTGAATTTATATTTTTATGTTCATTAGTTAATTTGTTTAATAAATTAATAAATTCTTTAATTGATTTAAAAGGACGAAAAACCATTTCTACCACTCAATGACAAGCACAAGTGTGGAAATAAGCCTTTCTACTAGTAACCGAAGAAAAGGAGAAAATAATGTATTTTCATCATGATAGAGAAGACGAATTACAATGAACTCTCCCATTTTTCAAATTTCACTTTTGCGGAACAGCTATAACACGTTACGAGTCATTTTAAAAGTAATTACAATATATGAAACACTTTTTTTTGTTTAAAAGTGATTGTTGTCTTATAATATTAACTGATGTACAAGGATACCACTGCATTTAAAAGTGGTTCTCCAAAATAACATCATGTCAAAGTTATTTACTCTCTTTTTCCTTTAATAATCTGATTTTTAATGTTCCCCTGCACTTCTACTCTGAAGTAGCAAATACACTGGGGCAAACTTAAGTTTGTGAATAATAAATTCACTTAACAATACTACACATTTTGGAGATTTTCAAACACTGTAATATTCATCTCGGGCACTATTTTTGTATTAATATATTTGTATTCATACAGAGTATTTTTTATATTACTTTCTGGTTGTAAACTTTCATCAAAAAGTATTTTTCAATGATCGGAAAGTAGAAACTAACTAAATTGCTGACTTAATTAAATCCCAATCTCATCCCACATCTAAATTCATTTCAACAAGTGCTACAATTCCTCTAATGACCCTTTGCATTTCATATGTATCATATACTATTTCCTTTAATACAAATTTTCATTGTGGGGAAGAACATAGGGTGAAAATTCAGGGAAAGAATTCCACTTCAACATCAGAATTATCTCCATGTAAACTGAACAGGGTTCCATACAACTGTTTTTGTATGGAAAAATTATTGTTAAAGAAAAATTAAAAGACACTTACCTCACACCAAATGTTTCATCAGAAGGTAACTTGAATTCCCAACCTTTTAGAGGTAGCATAATTGCTAGCCTCTCCACAATTTCACGTAGAATACTTGGTGTAATTCGGGCACCATTCTGCAATTCTGTCATTGGTAAGCACAGCTTCCTAGTAAACTGTAACAACTATTGATACCACAAAATACTTTTGTAAAAAGACTGGAATAAGGATAATATTTTAAAATAATAAACTGTAAAATTAAGTTAAAAGAAATAGAAGACATTGGGGCTAAATGGATTATTCACAAGGGTCATTAAGCCCCAGATCCTCATATGCTCATACCAAAAATATCAGTATTGTTTTATGAACCAAGAAATAGCACAAGTATGTATATTTTGTAATGATCAAAAATGGACTAGAGAACCTTAAGAGCCTGAATTAAAAATTGAATATATAAATTCATAAGAGGTTCATGTTCTTTACAGAAAGATAGTAAAAACAGAGATGCCTTGGACTCTCAAGCAAATAAAATGATACAAGGTTATCTTACATTTTGATCTGGATCGCAGTTTTTCTGCACTCAAGGAGATTTTAATAGAAAACTGAATTCCTAAAAAATCTAAACTAGTATTTAATCAATACCTTATACCATTATTACCTTATACCATCAATACCTTATTAGCATTAAGGCTTCTATTAGATCAATAAAGACACTAAGTATCAGTAATGTTTTCATTTCTTTTTTGTATGAAAGAAAACAAACAATAATTGCCTTAATAGAGATTTTAAAAAACTAAACCATTGGTTGAAAAACCTAATTTTAATACATGAGAACTTCATAATATGGAGCTTAAACACAGAGCTATTCATCCATTAGTCTTTTGCAACTTGATTGATTGCTTCGTAATTTAAGTGATAAAACAAACCACATTAAGCTATATAACTTTTTAAATTGTTAAAATAGTTTATATACCATATAATCTCTTGCTTGACAAAGTGCATCTGCTGTAATTCCCGGAGGATAGGAACCTTCTGCTGGGTAGAGTTCTTCACTCTTGATGACCCAATTGCCCTGGACCAACACACCCACTTGTTGCAAGGTGCGCACAACTTCCATGGGCTTCTCATCACCTTCTAACAGTTCCATCAGTTCATCAAAGCCTAAAACCTCAGCTGCAATTCAATGAAAATATCACATTAAACCGCTAGGAATTAATCTCTTGTCCAGTGTTTTAGTGTTTTTTTCTGCCCCTGCAGTATAAGTATCTTATAAGAATACTTAACATGTAAGTGACACATGCACACGTAAACTTCAATGGCTCGATTCCATAAATTCTTGCCTTCCATAAATTTAGAAGACCCAGCGTCATTGCCTGAGAGGCCGATGTTTCACCTTTTCGTCAGGACAGTGACAGTCACGGCCCTGAGGAAGCCTGCGATATGTCAGGTGAAACATTGGCCTCTCAGCCAACAACACAGCGTCTCCCAGATAGCCAAGAATTTACATAAGTGACATCAATTTTTCAGTGTTATATGAAGTCAGATTAGAATGCAATGTTCCCATAAATTGAGGCTATTTATATTATCAAATAGTTTAAGGGAAAACATTAAGAGAAAAACTTAATTTATATTCAATTAGTAATTAATATAGGTATATCTCATTAGTCAAAAGAAATTCTTAGAAGTTAATTAAAGAAACTAAGTATGGGGCGGTCAAAAGATGCACAAGTACGGAGGAAATGAGAACAGCATGAAATTAATAACACTTTATATCTCAGAGAAGAACGATTGGTAGCCCATGGAAAAAGGTAAGTTACAGTCTAATCTGGAACCTGACCATACTGGTTGTCAATCTTTAGTCATGTTCTCAGGAAGTGAATGGGCTATGTTTAAACTACCAACTGTGGAAGATCCATCAACCATTCATACACTGAGTGAAATCAGTAGGAGGCAGATAAGGTCACTTTTCACTTAACAGAAGCAATGGCCACTGCCTGGGCTCCATGCTCTATCAATATAAATCTCAAAGAAATTTTGAAGTTCACATGCATTAGAATATTAAAATTTAAAACTTTCCTTAAGTTAATTACATTTTCTAGTTTCAAATTCAAGAGGCCGCAACATCAGCAGACGATAACAGATTTAGCATGTAGATCCCATGAATGGTTAGGCTCTAGTGTTGTTCATAATTGGATGGACAGATGTTCTGAAAAACACTTTTGCGATACCAAGCACCAAAAAAGTCATGTCAAAATCATGACATCGAGTTTTTGCAGCATTACATAGGCTCTAAAAAAGTAAAATTAGAAAAATACTTACCACTTCGCAAAAGATGTCGTACTCTATCAACCAACGGTCGACTTCTTAATCGACGCATAGTTGTCTCAAGTGTACCATATACAGCATCATCTAGTGCCTCAGGAGGGGCTAACAGTTCACGATACTGCTCACCATCCAGACTTAGTTGCATAGGTTTCTCTTCAGGTGCAGGACAAAAAAGTCTAGCCTGCAAACACTGTTCAATACATGTATGATTAAGTATGTTAAGCCACCCTTCATTTAAGTGATAATCACATGACTTAAAATAAGACTGAAGTTTAACTTTCAAAAAATTGATATAACTATAAAAATTAAAACTGTGTGTGTCTAACCCACCCAATTAAAAAACTATTTTGAATCTTAAATAATTAAAGTAATAAAAAACACCTTTCAACGATAAAAATTAATGAGAAGACAAAAACGAAACATCAGCATATACTACACATTAAATTGCATAAAACAATATATAAATTTCACTAAACATCATTGCCATTTTCTCAAATTAACAGAATAGACTGAACACAAAAATGAATGTATTTACTCATTGAATAAATATAATTATGAATATCAAAATCAAATATCTTTTAAATTGAAAGAATAATGTAAATATATTTCAATATTATACACAATTTACATGCAAACCTTTACCTCAGATTTTTCAGAACGATATGGGTGAAATTCTGTGGAATACCATGGTTCTTCAGCGCTTTTTTTGCTGAGATAATTAAAAGAACGCTCCCTAGCCCTTTTGACTCTTTCTGATTCCTGACGAGCAAATTTCACAGTAATTTGCTTCAGTTCTTCTTCCTCGACTTCCCCGTCTGTAATAGAAGTTGAAATTAAATACATGATTTCTTTTTTATAAACATTAGAACAAAAGTATTCTCAACAAATTTCTTTTTGTGAATAAATTTGAGAATTAGGAAGAAAACAATGTCATACTACTTTCTAATAATATGTTTCTATCATATCTTAGAAAAAAGTTTTGGATAATAGTTATTCAAGTGGTGGTGTGGTTGGTGGTCAGAAGGAAGAGCGAGCCTGATGGCCCGAGTCTCGCCACGTAAAATAAGGCACATTCAATTCAATTCAATGCACACTCTCAGACACTATTGTGTATTTTGTTTATCTTTTGTTAACTGGAGACAAAAGTGCCAACCATCTCAAATGAAAGTAAACCAGATAGTAATACCTACAAATATGCAGAATATCACCCAATCTGGTTTTTGTAACTTTGACAGCTTTCCGTCACCATCCTCACCATATCAATTGCATGACAATTTACATTGTTCTACATTTGTTTACTCTTTTACTCTTTGCATTATAAATACTGAGCTAATATTCTTCCTTGACCTTCCCAAAAATATAAAACCTTTTATTTGTAGATTCTTTTTCAATCCTCTTTATTTCTATAATGAATCTTCAAGTTTCAAAAGAGAAAAAACTAACAAACTTGGTTTCTTTCTACTCAGTAATTCAATGTCTTAATGAAAAACCTATTCAAGTTTATTCTATGATTTTATTTCCAGAATGTCATCTTTTATATGGCAAGACTTGATACTTGACTGTGATACTTGAAATTAAAAATTTCTTACGAAGTTGGAAGCATTGATGAACATGAAATGAAACAAAGTGTAAAACTTCAAATGGAAGGAAAAGTTGCCTTTTTCAATTAATTTATTAAGTCAAGAATAACTGAGAGTAAAGGAATCTTTTTAAAAAAATGTCAGAAGAAATGGTTTGGAAATAGAGATTTCACTGAAAATTAGATCCTTAAAAATAATAATTGAAAATTAAAAGAAAAGGATTGGAGCTATCATTAACCAGAAAGGAACTTGCTTTGTTTATAATATATAAGGTTTCCTTTAACTATCTCAAATTAAAAACTGTCGCAAAAACTAAAAGGTGAAATTTATTTTGGCAAGTTCACATTAATTTTAGCAAGTAGCAAGCATGAGGGCACAACGTATTTCTTTTTAAACATATTTTGTCAGAAATATCTACTTAAGGTGAAGCAGATGCAAAATAATCTTAAATTTGGAAATTTGCAATTTAAAAGCAAAATACTTTTGAAGCCAAATTGACTCACGTAGCTTGTGAAGATCAAAGACAGTGGCAACGATCCAGTCATTGTCATTGATTAAAAAACAAAACAGATACACCTATCAAAACAAAACTACATCCATTTTAGACCAAAAATGACATAGGTATGTTCCCACCCTCTTTATCCTTCCCACAGAACTCACAAACAAAGCAGCCAAGCTAAAATAAATTTCGGCCAACACAAAATTACAAATATAAATACAGGTTTTGTATTTCAAATTTTGTATCCAAAAATAATAAGGAACGACTTTACCTTCACGAGACTTTGCAGCCTCCTTTGCTCTCTTGTCACCAGTATCCAAAAATGGAAGGTAATTTCGCATTTCTACACATGTGTACAGAGGGTTTAAATGAAGTTCTCCAGCATGAAGAACACCAATGGCATAACGTCCAGCATCTGGCACAGGGCATGTTGACTCTAACACAGTCTTGTCCAAAAGGCCACTACACAAAGCAACATTCACTACAATACTTCCTTTTCACACAATTCACTGCATATTACAATTGTTCTTAAAGGAACTAAACAAACTAATCAAATGTCACAATTATGATAACACATTATTAGTAAATCTAACTAGGGTAGAATTCTTGACAAATCAACAATCCCAAATAAGTATTGAATGTGCACAGGAAAGCTAAGTAAAATACTAGAAACCACTAAATAAACAACAGTTTGTTCAAGCCATTAATTTCTAAATGTTGAAAATGAAAATACTGGTGCATGAAAAGGAATTAGTATGAAACGAATAAGCAAACTTCACTTATTTGTAATGTTATACTCATAAGAACCCTAAAGATAAGATTAAAGGATATTTATTTTAAGATGGCGTTTCAAGTGTCTGTACACATATAGTACACATTTCAGTCAAATAAACCACAGATACTGATTATTTTCAAGACTGACAATTGCTCTTATACATAGATTGTTTCCTCCTATGCACAATACCTTCATGATGAGAATCTAGATTGGTACTTACCTCTTGAAAATTTTTCCATCTTTGCTTGATGATGGACCGTCTACATTTAGTGCCATGTATTCACCTTTCCCATAATCATAGTTTGAATTAGGATTAACTGCTAATTCCATCTTCACTTGCTTATTCTGGGGTTTAATCATGCACTGTAGATAAACAATGTTAAGTGAGACAGAGTAATAATTTAATTTGATACTCCATATTTAATTAACAAAATCCCTATTCATTACCTTCTGGATTTGTGGAGGTTCACCAGTTGAATTTCTTGGTTTTGAAGGATATTGAAAGAGATATAATTGATTTTTCATTTCTTGAGATAAATACACTGGTATCTGCAAAGTATTACTAATTATTGCAAAGTATTATCTAACAAGTATTTTCTACACAAATACCAACAAAATTCTACGTCGAGAAAAAAAAATTAAAAATACAAATTACAAATAACTAAACAAAATTAATACATTCTTAATGTCAACCATCTTCTATATATCAATCGTATTTTTATACCAATATTAATAAACCTCCACCTGTTTATTTGAATCAAGCCGATTTAAATTTAACAAAAAGAAAACATTAAAAATATATTCACTATACAACTAAACGTTGACACATACTATTAAACATGGAGTAAGAACATGGGACCATGTGTTTGTAGTAGCGGACAATGCACTACTTTGCGTTTCTTACTAACCTGAGAAACAATTGGATCATCATCCGAATCACTCATTATTGTCACGAATTACCACTAAAATTTGCAGCGACACACATACGCCACACAATAACCTTTCAATATTTCATCATTTAAATTAACCTAACACGCCTCTTGCAGAAGAATCAGTGCTACCAGCAGCGACCACATTCATTCGTTCACTTCACAACACAACCACAACCACTGCGGTGAACCACCGCATCACACCGGCTCAGGCGCCACTCGCCGCTCATTTGTTTTTCAAACGCGCTTGCCTCTTGTGTTTTGTCCCGTGTGGTATCGTATCAGAGTATAAAGGTACAAAGTAAAGTTTAAGTTATATATTTTAAAACATGCAATGTACATTAATTTCCTAAAAATCATGAACTAAAGTTACTATTTTTGTTCGTTAATGAAATGCATTTTTGCTATTTTGTGTCCGAAGAGCAATATAAAAAAATTGAATAGGGCTTGTTTTGAACTTCAGAAGGCGCGCAAACAGCAGAGGCATTAAAATTGGTATGCTGGTGTGGTGTCGAAGTGAAGTGCCGAAGTACGCGGGAAGCACTTTGTTGAGTTATTTTGACATTAATCGGTTTTTTAAATAATTCACCATGAGTTTATGGGTAGATAAATATCGACCCACTTCTCTATCGAAGCTTGATTATCATCTAACGCAAGCGGAACACTTAAAGAATTTGGTTAGTATCATAGTCTACCATTATCAGTAGGCATGTCATTGAATGTCCCATAAATGATCAAAAAAAATCTGACCACGAACGTTACAGGTTCAACAAGGAGATTTCCCACATTTGTTGGTTTATGGCCCATCAGGTGCTGGAAAGAAAACTAGAATAATGTCCCTTCTTAGAGAGCTCTATGGCCCAGGTGTAGAACGACTTCGAATGGAACGAGTTAACTTTACAGTAAGTGCACTATAAGTCTTATGAAAATAATATATTTGTTTGCAGTTTGAGAAAGGTTCTTGCCATGTCTTTAAAAGAAATTCTCAAATGTTTAATGACAAGTGCAATTTGAAAACTCTAAATCCCATCATCTCAAAATGTGCAGGTTTGAAAAGTGGAATATTTTTCATAATTAAGTTAATACTATTAATTATTCCTGCACTGTCTCCTGACCCTCCACAGCCAGCTAGTCTGATGTTGGGAAATCTGTTCCTTAAAGTAAATTCAAGAAGTTGGGACATTTTTTTTCCTTTTTTTATTTTTCGAAGTTATTTTATGAATTTGTTTTCTGTTTCAGACACCATCAAACAAAAAAATAGAAATTACAACATTAAATAGCAATTATCATTTGGAAGTAAACCCAAGTGATGTTGGAATTTATGATAGGGTTGTTATTCAAGAGCTGATTAAAACCGTGGCTGAAACACATCAGTTAGATACTGCTGGACAACGAGAATTTAAAGGTTTGCCATGGTGTAGGGTTGTTGTTTTAGTAAAAGAAAACATTCTAACAAAGTTTAAAATGTTTAATTGCTCTTACAACTCTGAATTTATTATTTATTTTAAATTTTCTTCTCTTTTAAGCAGTTAGTTTAACTAATAATAAATGTGAGTAATAAAAAATGGGGAGAATAATTGAATGAACAGAGAAATATGTTTCTACGATGTTAATGAGTAAATTCAGACTTTAAATTTGCTTTTTTCTCTTTTAAGTGCAATCAGATAACAGAAAATGCAGGCTTTGGTAGATATTTACATAATTGTCTTTTTATATGAAAAGTAATTTGTGTTGTTATACTTCAAAGGTGCTCGCAAAACAATGTTTCAGTTGTCTTATTAAGCGAAGTGGATCGTCTTACCAAAGATGCTCAGCATGCATTACGTCGTACAATGGAAAAATATGTGGCTTCATGTCGCATAATTCTTTGTGCAAATTCTACATCAAGAGTTATTCCTGCTATTCGTTCTCGATGTCTTAGCATTCGTGTGCCTGCACCCAGCCCAGAACAAATAATAGTTATACTTCAGGTAAAATGCAACACTATTAATCTTTTAATCAGGGAAGAAATTGCTTCATATTAAAGTAATGTGTTGTAATCTTCAGAATGTATGCAAAAAGGAAGGAGTGACTTTACCTCCAGAGTTGGCTGAACGTATTGCATCAAAATCGGGACGGAATCTTCGCCGGGCTCTTCTTATGTGCGAAACTTGCAAAGTGCAGCAGTAAGTATATATAGAAACAACAAATAATTCTCTTTATTTTTCCTGTTTTTGAATCTTATGTTTTGATTTAGTATGTTTCATGGATTTTAAACTAGATATAACTAAAAGCAGAAGCATTATTTTCTCCACAAAAGATCAGGGAATTTTTCCAAAATCTCTTTGTTTTGATTCATTTAATGTTTTGAGTTAAAATCTATAACATCTAAATAATGTTCAAATGTGATTAAAAAACATCATCTCTGTACTGTTATGATTTGTATGGATTTGGTAATCAATGCTAGTTATCCTGTCTAATCAACTACATTTGTGTAGAACTCCAATGCAGCCTAGCCAAGAAATACCTGCATTGGACTGGCAAACCTTTCTGGAAGACACTGCCAAGATGGTAGTTCAAGAACAGAGTCCTAAACAGATGAGTGAAGTGCGTGGTCGTCTTTATGAACTTCTTATCCACGGCATTCCACCCCCAACAATTTTTCAGGTGAGAGCTGTACATTGTAAAATATTAAAATAAGATGGAATCTGTTTGAATTCAGAAGTGTTCAAAGCTTTCTGAAACGCTGTAGAAAGTTTCTTATAGGTTGTATCAGATTGCAGAACACACCTATTTTCAAACCACATTCCTGCCTTCTTTTAAAGGATCCTAAAAATATTTCTTTAAAATTACATAATTGAAGAGCTTATTTCCAACAAGTCTAAGAAATAGTTTGGAACGGAGTGAAATTCAGGTTTACAGTTCAAGATAAGATTGAACTGTTTAATAAAGGTTTGGATACTGTTTAATAAAGAAAAAATGCTCTTTTTGAACACACTTTGTCAGCATGATAGAAAAGTGGTGTAATAAAATACATGGATTAGTAAGTCTACAAAACAACTGAAAATGGAGGCGATTTCTCAAGGGAGTGGGAGGGAGAATGTCCTCTCAGATTTTCTTCTATTGAATGTACTTTCTAAATACAATAATTTCTTTGATGTAAGAGGGAAAACATTTTTCAGGGGGTTCATAGTTATCAGAAATTGGCTTTGATCGAGGTCCTAAATTGCATGCATGTGCTTTTCAAGCGATGCAAAAACTCCAAATCGCTTCGAAGAGGAATTTTCAGTTTTTCCTCCTGTTGTGCAGCACAGCATACCCATTTTAGCATAGTGCTGTGGCGGAAAGAAAAGGAAACATTTTTAATGTAGCAATATGGTTTGAGGGGAGGAGTTCCTCCTGTCCAATGCCTTCGCCATGCCAGCTATTGGAATTAAATGAAACACACTCATGAATCATAGGCCAGGATGTGGGAAGACACATAATATCATTTCACACCCATGGCAGCGCCATGGGCTGTTAGAAATCTGGATGATAGGGCAAATTGAACCAAAACATTTGCATGTAATCCAATTTGTTGTATGTATCATTTAATGTAATGGTATTTGCATTACTTCTTTCCTCTTAAGAATCATGCATGAGCCTCCACTGTCAATTTGGTTATAAGCTTTTCAGTTGATTTGCTTGACATTGAACTTACAAGTGTAAAATCTATGAATTAAATAATTTCTAGTTTTCTTTCCCATCTTTCCATCTTAAGTATATAAGATGAAGTTGTAATGTAATTCAAATTTCAAAGCAGTTGCATGGATGGCTATAATAATTTATGACTTTTTGAATTTTAACGATGGGTTTAAAGGAGGCTACTTTGTTTCACTTTTCTCAGTTGAACACAATGTATTTTGAAGTCATGGTCTTTGTGTTGTCATACGTAACAAAATACATTTGTATCAATATTGCAGGGACTTCTGGAGGAACTTGTGAAGAGTTGTGATATGCAAATGAAGAGGCGTGTTGTGGAAGCAGCTGCAAAGTATGAACATCGTTTACACCAAGGCAACAAGAGTATTTTCCATTTAGAGGCTTTCGTTGCAACATTTATGAGCATATATAAAACTTTTATGGAAGAAATGCTGGGTGGCATGTAAAAATCTGTTGAGGGGATCTTATTGTAATTTTGTAAAAGATTGTTTTCTACGATTCTACAAGAAGGTGTGAACAATATTTTAACTCAAGTGATTATGAAGCAATACTGAAGAGTTTCTTAATATTTGTTATTGATTGAAAATGAAATGTTCGGTTTCTGAAACGATCAAAAAAACAGAAGTTGTGGTTTTAACTGTATTCTGTTCAGCTATTTAACATTTTGCTTTTATGTATTGTATCTATTTTAGAACAATGTTTGTGATTTGTGTATTACACTGACATTTATGATTATAACAATATTATTTTTATTTTCCGTCTGCTGGCTCAGTATAATGTCTTCCAGTTGTCATTTGATTAATAAGTGAGAAACATGAGATTTCTTTACTGAATTACTGAGGGTATTTTGGATATTGGCAGGTTTAAAATTCCACAATCATTTTTTTTGTTTTTTCAATCATGATTGTAATTCTTGAATTTTTTGACCTTTGTCTGAAATAAAATATTGCTATTTATGAGCTCATTATTTCAAATAAATACAAAACAGATGTGTCATTCCTCAACTGAAAATATTTGTCTGGTTTAGATGAATTTCCAGATTGTTTTTTAAATACTTGTGTACTTGCCATTACACACCCATTAACTCACATGTTTAATGCATCGTTATGCACTGGAACTTTTCCAGAGATTTTCAAAACACCAAGATAAAACCACTTTTCAAAAATTGTGACGAAAATGAAATTCAAGATTACTGGCCAATTTCTGCTTAGACAATTTTTTCAAAAATATTAGACTTGCGTACAAATGGAAACATTTCTTAGTAAACATGAAGCATTTTCAGATTGCCATTGTGGATTTAGAAAATCAAAGTGTAAGGAAACAGCCATATTTTCTTTTTTTAAAGATGTCACTGTCACTGTCACTGTCACTGTCACTGTCACTTTCTCCATGGATCAAAATGAAGCACCTATTGAAATATTTTTAGATTTTTCACAAGTTTATGATGTCATTGATTATAATATTACTTTGCCTTTGCGCAGCAATCACTTGGGTGGGTTGATCAGTATCAGAGGTCAGTGAGAAAGAGGAGGGTGGCATGAAAAGAAAAACAGAATTAAAGGCAGGGAAAGGAATACACGAGAGCCTTCTCTGCATCCCTCCTGTCAGGACAAGGACCAACCCACCTCGACAGGAATAATTTGGAATGTAAGAGAGAGATAGCACTATTGTAAAATGCTCAATTTTAACTTTCCACATATCCTTCTTCAAAGAACATTATTAGTGGACATTTAAATAGACTCTGATTATAAGATGACCCCTTAATTTTGAAGAGGCCTTCAGAATTGTTTTTGCAAAGTTTTAACTATTTCTTAAAAATAAAATTAAAAATTGTCTTATGAACTAGCAAATTATCTTGATGAATATGTTAAAACTTGATATTGCCAAAGCTATCATTATTTTCCTGTTCCATAAAATCATCTTAAACAAAACTTGTCAATACCTTCTTTATTTCCACGATTATAGTATTTTAGTTTCTTTTTGACCCTTCTCCTATAGCGTGTCGACCTCAAACATTTTTGGTACCCTTGGAAATTTGGGCATTTAATTCTCTTTCCTCTGATGCCTCCTAAGAAAATTTGTCACCAGATTTTCTTTCTGATATTCATGGCTACTGATTATTTAACAGAATGTAACTGAATTTAGCAACATTTAATAATGGAGGAATGATATATTCTTCATTTATGATTTAGTGTTTGCTTGATCGTCATTCTCATATATTATTGTTTCACTAGTAACATGGGAGAGAGAGTGGGAGACTCAAAAGTTTGAGAAGTATTTATTAAGAACAAATTTTTTTATTGTTTGTAGAATGTATACTTCTATCAATGCGTTCTTTTCTGATTTTTTTTTATTATTTGTTTCCATCTCTTGGAAATAGCAGATTTGCACTCGCCAAGTGTCAAATCAAGAGGTTGTGCAGTCTTGGCAAGTGTGAAGCAAAATCTCAGCAATGATTTTTGTTTATTTTGACATTGCATTTCACCTATTACAATCCCATTAGTTTGACATTGTTTCAATACCACGTCATTCAAAACTATTGGCCTGAATCATCAGAAAAATTTGCAGTAGATACTAATGATACATCTGTGAATATAATTAGTAGGGGGTGTATTTTAAAGTGTAATATTTTTTTCTCCTTTTCACTTTACAAATATGCTGTTTAGTATAGAAATTAATTTTATGTTAAAAAAAAGTCATTCCTTTTGTTGTGTCAATTTTGACTTAAGTCATTTTTTATGTCATTTTAAAGGTAAGTGCTTCAAATAATATTTCCAAGATGTAACAAATGTTCTCCACTGAATTCCTAAGTACATATACCTGTTAGCCTATTTGATTTCTTCGCTCACAAGTTGTAATATCAGCCACTGTGAGTATGTAATCTAAGATCCCCGAGACTTTTTTCAGTACTTTTGGCGGTACAGATGATTTCGGGATAACTAAAAACATATCTCCTGGTAAAGATTGGTGCCAACCACAAGTCTGAATGCTGAGTTTACTTGAATGAATAGAAGCAGCCTCAACTACATCAGTAACATACATAACAGCTAAAGTTGTTCATCTGAACTGGTTTTGATTAAAAGTTTTAAGTAGTTTTTCTTTGTTTGTAGGACATTTTAAGAGCAATTTATTGATCATTTTTGGCAATGTTTTAGGTGAAGAAAATGCACCTCCAAATAATTAGGTATTATAGATACGTGCCATATTTATTGCCTTTGCAGTTTATTCCCATCAGCATTCGAGTTCCGCATCAAGCAAGTAAAAATCTCAATCCTAAGCAACTATGTTTAAAGTGTGAAATTAAGATGACCCTTTGTCTTTCGAATAAAATATTTAGGAAAAAAAACATCACTCTTGGACTATCTAATTTAAAGTAACCCAGAATAACAAGTCACAATACAAAGAGTGAAGATAGTTAGACAAGTTGAACAAGGTTCCATGGCTCTGGAATCCAGCAGTCGTAAGTAACGTAAGTAAGTCGTAAATGGCCAGAAAGTCTGAAAGTACTCCCAAAGTATCTTAGAAACTATATACACTTATGATTCCTAGTAAAACAGAATACATGAGAATTGTGGACAATGTTACCATAAAACTTTACACACGTTACACAGGATTGTCAAATGAGTAGTTTAACAGAATTTGAAACAGGACTTAATAATATGGGTGTGCTTAGTGGGAAAACATGGTAATGAGGAACATCCTAATGAGATTCCCCTGTAATTGTAAAACTAGTGAAAAAATTAATTTTATGTGGAACTAACATTGCATTTGTACATTTAAAAAGGAAAACAGCTGAAGGGAATCCAAATTGGCATATGGTCCTTAGCTGGACTAAATGGAGTAAAAATATTGTCCCTTTTAATCATACGTTTTTGTTGTCCATCTCAAATTCCTCATTGAGTGAAATCTGAATTCTGCTTCTCAAGAGTTGGTAAGCATAAATGTTTATCACAATGCTTAAGTCATTTCACTGCAATACTATTTTCAATAACAACACACCCTATGGAAACAGCAGGTTTATTTTTAATGTAAGAAAAAGAACATCTTTTAAACAAAAATTATGAACAACTATTCATATTATTTACAAAATAAAAAAAAAATCATACAAACTTTGAAAAACGATCATTATTCCCAGTCTTTCATGACTCGATCATAGTCTTCATCGTCAATAAAGGGTTTATCAATTGACCTGTGAACAGAAAATCAAACTTAATTTATTACTGCGTTACATAATTTAAACAAACAGAAGGCAAATTATTGTATACAAAATTATCTTTCTTAAAAACAAAAGTCCTCACAAAAAGATGTTTTCTCAGATCTATAGAGACAATAGAACAATTCAGTACTCATCTTTGCATTGGTTATTTTGCCAGAAGACAATAGTGTCTGCTGTGAAACAATAATGTCTTTGAGCTTGAATGAAGCTGCATCGTATGTCTTTAACACTTTCTAAGATTTTCTACATTAGTAAAAGTTTGGGCTTTCAAGGAAGGGTGTTGATTACAGCCTCTTGTGTAGGGTAGTGACAGAAGCCACATGAAATTGATCAGGTATGCATGGAAGAGATGCAGCAAGAATCTAAAATTCGAGAGATGACCTAGAATTCTCATCCAAAGAGGTTGACTTTTATTATAGCCATTTAGCAAAATCCTACTTGGATTCCCTATGTCCCCCTTTTATGAGACTTCAGCTGCAGTCTTGCTACTACATACATGATCGCTTCTGGACTAAATTGTAGCTTTACTATGCATCCATTTTGTGAGCTCATATTTTGCTAGTTGTGGTAGAATTGGAGGTGTGAGTGTTTTACGAGTAGCTTGCATCGCAATAAGCGGGTTTATCAATTGACCTGTGAACAGAAAATCAAACTTAATTTATTTACTGCGTTACATAATTTTAAAACAAACAGAAGGCAAATTATTGTATACAAAATTATCTTTCTTAAAAACAAAATCCTCAACAAAAAGATGTTTTCTCAGATCTATAGAGACAATAGAACAATTCAGTAACTCATCTTTGCATTGGTTATTTTTGCCAGAAGACAATAGGGTCTGCTGGTGAAACATAATGTCTTTGAGCTTGAATGAAGCTGCATCGTATGTCTTTAACACTTCTTAAGATTTTCTACATTAGCTTAAAAGTTTGGGCTTTTTCAAGGAAGGGTGTTGATTACAGCCTCTTGTGTAGGGTAGTGACAGAAGCCACATGAAATTGATCAGGTATTGACATGAAG